CCCAAGACTTGATGCCCATGAAGACGGGGGAAGAAACAGAAGTGCTGGATGCATGAGAAAAGTTCTCACAGAGAGTATTGGCGATATTCTGTACATCAGCAACTTCCTCGCCATTGGAGAGCAAGATGGAAGAATACCTCCCACTGACCTTCTGAATATTACCCCATATAACTGGCAATAGAAAGAGATGCTAGTTGTGAAGTTAATCCAAGATCCTTTTGGCTTTGACGTCCAACCTACAGAGCATGGGCACAGGGCCACTGGAGAGCGATGTAGTTGGAAAGAATGGGCATGTTCATTTATCAATTAGCTGTTTTTTACTTTTTTTTTTTGTAGGATTTGGGGATCCAAAATAAAAGGAGAAGGATTCAGTGTCCACTGACCCCACCCAACTTGGGGTCGTACGAGGGGACGCACTACAATGTCAAACAAGGACACTGCAGCAATGCCAGGGTTTCATGAGCACTATATCCAAACACCAGCATCAGACACAATGTCCACAACACCCTTGAGACCGCCAAACACTGGTACTCAATTGACTCTATCCTAACAGGACCAGCTGACCAACCCTGGGGGGCCACCCAAAGGCCACTCATCTACAGGAATTGAAGGCCAAAGTGGTGTGCTGAAGTGCCTCAGACAACACTCAACCACCAGGATTCTCTCCTCCCCTTCACGAGTCGCCACACACGGGAAGCACGTGGGTGGATGTTCAGATCCAAGTGGAGGTAACTGAAAATACAGAACCTTCCCTGGGAGGTCCCCTCACCACGTACAGGAATCCACCTTAAGGGTTATTTAAAATACTACAATTTACCAGGAGTCATGCAACTGGGTGTGATGCCTATAAATTTCACTTTCAAAGATTGAATTTTGCTTTTTATTTTCCTCCTGCAGCAAATTTTGGTCACCATTATCTTTCACTTCAGTCAGTCACCCACTGTACCGAAAGCAACAAACAGTAACACAAACACATGGTTTACAAACTCTGAAGATAAGCCAACCGTATCACTGATACACTACACATTTTCGATGACGAGGAACTCACTTTGAGACTAATAATGCTTGGAGACGGCTTGAATGGGTAATGAAGAAAAACTTTAATATAAGATTAATATAACAGCAAATGTAAATCTTATATTAAAATGGTATTCTTCATTTGCTCAGAACATCTCTAGCAAATTGGTTAGGAGTAAAACCTTAGATTTTTCTGAGTCAAATTCTGGCCACAGATGAAAGGCTGAGGAAAAATTAGAGAATTGCAAGCTAAAAATGTTTCACAAAGTTTTGAATTGGAATGTACCAAGAGGTATTTAACAGCTCAATTTGTAAAGACATAAGAAATAGTCATGATATTGCACTTGGGCAGGAAAATCTCGTGAAGAGTACAGATCGTGAATGGCATTCAAAATGTGAGTTAAAATTAAAATAAAAAGAAAGGAAAATGCAGTGAATTTAGAAAATTATTTTATATTATTTTGAATAAATACAAGTTATTGATTCAAACTGCAAAAACAAATAAATAAACAAAATTGTTTTCTTAGATTCTGAAGCAAAAAAGTTTTCAAATTAAAAAATACAGACAAAACATTGAGGCTAATATATATATATGTGTGTGTGTGTGTGTGTGCGTGTCTATATATCTTCATGTAATAGAAATAATTAACCCTTAAATAAACAAAATTTCATTTACAAAACAAGTGTATTCATGTTATGAATGTATTTGATATAAAAATGTGAAGTCTCCCTATTTCAAAAACTTCTCCTTGTTGGCACCTGGTGAGAGAAGTCACTCCTTCCTGTTTTAGGGGTCTAGCTTGACTTCTGATTTACAAATAGCTCTATTAAAAAAAGCCATAACCACTGTGGGCCACTTCACGCTATCCAGATGTAGTCGAAACTTTGTTTCTATCGCAACCACGACAGTAATGAAAACTGGTCTGTCTACACAATAACCATGCCAACAGACAGAGCCAGGTGATTAAATATTAATTGATAGATATTCAATTATCTACACGTAGCAATTACATCAATTAGTGTCATATAAACTAATCGACTAATCAAATTTACAATTAAATGGATTATCGAATGTTATCATTTTCCTAAACTGAAAATGTATTTCCAAACATACATACCTCCGTTGACACTAATAGCTATTTTCCAATCTTCATCTTTGCCATCTAACGTTCCCTTGCTCCAGTCTTTATACACCCCGCTCGGCAATATCTAATTTGCAAAACTTTATGCCAGCCCTCACACGCTCTCTATGCAGGTACTGTATATAAGCACTGTATGCAGACAATCACTTTTTTGAGACTTACCACATTCCGGTCACTAACACTGGCTCTCAGTGGAGAGGGAGAGTGTCAGCAGAGGTACGTATATTTGGAAATACATTTTCAGTTTAGGAAAATGATAACATTCGATAATCCATTTAATTGTAAGTGATAACTTCCAAAACATACATACCTCAGCTGACACTAATAGCCAGAATCACACATTGAGAAGGTGGAGGGGCCGGTGAGGACAGAGATCATACAGAAAGCATCTGCAGAGAACAAATATGTACCACGACAAGTGGTATCAAAGTGGGGAACACTGCACTACATCCTTCACTCTGAACTACAGAAAACTGAAAAGAGTGGAGTATAATACAAGTATGATGGTCCAGCCCTGACCAAACAGCCAAGGTTCCACAACTCGGGTTGAATTTATGGGGAGATAGTGGACCCTTGCATGAACAACATAAAACCTGACAGTGTTCATAAGAGGGTCCAAGCACATCCCACAGGATAGCTAAGCATCAAATCTGGACTAGTTTTACAAGTAGACTCCCGCGTAGGTTGGTCATGCTCCTACCGACATCTGAAAAAAAATTTCCAGGGACCCAGGTAGGAGGATCCCCAACTACACTCCCTCTTCTCCAAGAGTGGAGAAAACTCAACACTCCGAAGTAAATCCTCTGTCCACCACCCCAGCAACTGGGAACTTGATGTGGTAAGGACTCTCAAGCTCCAGTAGAAAAAGTAAGGGGGGAAAGCATTGGGAAATTCTGAGGAACAGGTGAACCACATTCCCTAATTTTTAAAAGCAAACTGATCTTGACTGATTCAGCTCTAAGATCAGCAGGGACTGGCAAAATCCCCCTTAGCTTTACTGATGATAGTCCATGAGTAGTGGTCCATTAGAAATATTACAATATGACATCACCATCCAGAATTGCGTCCAGACGGTCTTATGGAACACCTCATCTTGAGAGAGCCCATTGCAACCAGGAACCATATAAAGGTTGCTATTGCAAATTTTCAATAGAAGCATAACCAACTGGGCAACACTCTCCACTGAGTGGGATCTACAAAAATTCAGTAGGGATCCTAGAAGAGAAAAGAACAATAACTGTTCAGATAACATGTTACCACTCTGTTAAAACCTAGTAGAGGTAGTCAACACAGCAACAGGGGGAAGATGAAGATCATGTCAGATCGTGAAGGTAATGAGATATGAACATGTCAGAAGAAGTCCACATACCAGCTTGCAAAATATCTTCCAAGAATAAGGATGGAAACGATTAAAAGAACCAATTGAACGAGGAGTGGAAAGAGGGGAACTTGAGACACGAATGGGATGAACCTGCAGAAGTACAAGTGGAGATAGAATAAGGTCAAGCAGCCAAAGACGATAAAGAAGACTGGAAACGTGCTGTATCAACTCTGGCTTCTAAAGATTCTGGAGAACGTGCTGTATCAACTCTGGCTTCTAAAGATTTTGGAATTCCAGCAAATAAATAAGGCTGAAGAAAAGGCACTTCCCATAACTCTCGAAGCACAGAAGAAGGTAACCAAATACCTTCCAAAAATGCATCCCAATTCAACAAGTCCCAGCAACAGACCAACCACGACACCAAGGCAAGTCCTGAAGAGGACAAATGTGTCAGAGTTGTAACCAGTAAAGGGCCCAGTTCGTCATCAAATTGTTGAGGCGATTGGTGATATGCTTCAGACAAAGTTGAATGGAAGAGAAGTATCTTAAAACAGTAGTAAGAGTCAAATGAATCTGTAAAAATTGTGACCTATTAAGAGAGATAAGTTCATACTTGGCACCCCCATAGATCAAATAATAGATCCAACCTTTGAGTGTTCAAATATATATATCATCTTCACGATGATACGCTAGGGCATGTTGTTGAGATAAATGGGGGAGGGAGGCATAGTGACACCCTCACGTAATTGTGTTGCAAACCTCCCTGCATGCACAGCAATATCAGGAGAAGGCAGAAAACAAAGCAATCCCCTTGAGAATGATCAGACAACAAAGCAGGGGTAAACTCAAAAGCAATTGGTTGCATCTCCAAAACTTCACAAACCTATGTAACTAACTGCAGAAAAGGGGGTAGATGATGGCTGATCAGATGAGTCCTCAGGAGAGGAAGCCCCAGTGAAAGAAGGAGCAGGAAACATGGAGTCTAAATTCTCCTCAGAATATCCCATTTCTGAATGAAAATTCAAATCAGCACGTGGAAACTTGTCTGGAGAAGGTGGAAAAAAAAAAAATCCTCAGCATGAGAGTTGTGTCATAAGAAACAGGAAAAAAAATCAAAACACATAGGAGAAAGGGAAAGTAAAGAACAAACCTGACTAATGAAATCCACAAAGAGATATGGAGGAGGAACATTGTCCTCAACAGGTAAAGAGGGACCTAGTGTCACCCTCCTATTGGTGGAGGGCTGTTGTTGAATGATCATCACATCGTGTACTAGCACAGTGACAACAAGTGTCTTAGGTTGGAGATAGCTAAAGACTAATGATATGTACAATATTTCAAATGAAGAAGCATTTAAGATCTGTTGGTATTCAACTGGTCGAAGTTGATGAGCATGGTTACTGTGCAGACATATCATTTTTAATTATTGTCATATGGTAGTTGTTAAAAATGTGTTAGCCTTTAATTTGAACCTTCATACATTCACTTATATTTACTGAATGATACTTTCCCATACTTACAGTGTTAGCTAAGACTAAATGTATTTTCTGTAGTTGATCTTCAGTGGGTTTTCCAACTGGATGTGGTGGTTCATTGGTTTTTGAAACATTTGCACAAAGAACAGCCTGTCGTTCAAAATCTGACAAAGGAGCTGAGCTCAGTCCTCTCATGTGGCTACTTCTGTCCATTTCTACACAAAACACATGGTATGGTTCAGCACCCAGGTAGCCATTAAAGTGAGTTAATGATGTTAGCTGAAAGCCATGCTTCTTTGAAGAAAGAGAACACCAACTATCTTTAAGATGAATGTCATCTGATAATGCCAAGCAAGGCTTAATTATCATCCACACTGGATCAGGTACAGTGCTTAAATGTAATTCTGTGAATCCTGTCTCTTTTGCTAAGCAGTGCCTTTCCTCAATAGTTTTGTTTGGTATATTGGTCAACACAACCCACTTATTTCTACAATACTTGTGATCGTCCTGTATACTGTTATCATGACAGTAAACAACATCTGGCTGAAATTCACATGAGGCAGAGACTGATGTTCTTGCTTGCAAAGCCAAAAATGGCATTCTGTGTTCAATTAGTCCTCTTTTTATAGCCTGAAAAAAAAAGAACACAAGCCAGTTGTTAATTTACTTAAACTTATTTGTATGTGAATCAAAACTGTAAAACGTTAGTTTAGAGTTCATGAACTTGTTTTATATAGTAACTTAACATTTCATTAATTTGAGTAGTATATTATGAATAACTAGCATAATTCATACCTATTATACCATTACCAGTATGACTAAAAATCCCTTCATTCCCAGAGTAAAACAAAGGTTCATTTGGCCCATCTAAAAACCAACCTATTACAAATACATATAGAAACTCCTTTCACATATTCAACTCATATCACTAAAATATTCATCCAATCTCCTCTTTGAAACTATTTCAATACTGCAGCTTCTATAACACCTGAAGAAAAACTATTATATATGCCTCTGAAACCTTCTCTAGCAAAAACATGTCAAAAGATTGCAATATATCCCCTCAAAACCTGCAAGCACCATTTTACCTCTTCTCTAACAACATTCTTCCTACTCTTTGCACTGCCACATTTACAGATAAACAATTCACTCAGTGCCATGGTTTAATGTTCCATTACTTATATGAAACTTGAATCTGATAACCTTTGGAAAATTTGAAGGGGAATATTGTTCTTCATGATGGTGTAAAATCCCAAACTCATATGGCAATATTCTAGAGGTGTCAGGTTTTTAAAGGGACAACATTCTTTACAGTAGATGTCAGTGACTTGCTGGTGATAAATTTCCACAAGAAACAGACAGCACACAATCCACTTGTTTTAAAATAATATATATATTCAAAAGTCAAACGTATGTACAAAAATTTGTCACTATTGTTTACCAAAGTTGAATCTAGAGCTTTAAATAATTATCATCAAAAGTCTACACAGGCTGGTTCAATTACTTTAGAACCCAACTGACAAGACAAATTATTTCTTCTCTCCTCTGTTATCACAATACAATTGGGAATAGGTTACCACAGTTGTATCCAGAGCTTTAAATAATTCTCTTTTACGTCAAAAATCCACACATGCTGGTTCAATTACTTTAGAACCCAATTGACAAGACAAATCATTCTTCTCTATCTCTGTTGTTACAATACAAACTGTAAAACTTTCACTTTAGAAATCTCCCATTGTGGCTAAACTGACAATCACGCAGTCACTTCACTTTTTTTCACTTTTGCTTTCACTAACTGACTATTTTTCTCTCTGTAGCTGCATGTATTTATAACACATGATAGAAAAATCCAGAAATTTCTGGCCTTCCAGTAACAACAATATTACACATAAAGAGAAAACTTTAGAAGCTTCGAGCAAGATGACATGAACAATATTACAAATGCCTAGTACAAAAATTAAACTGCATACATAACATACAACCCGCATAGGGTTACGTAACAAAACTTTTCACAATCATAGTTTTAAAATAATTAACTTTTAACACTATTGTTATGAAACTAAATAATCATTTAATATTAAATTACTAAATAAACAAAATAATAACTTAAACTGAACAATCTTGTATATTTAACAAGAGAGAGAATATACATGTACCCATGGCAGTGATATAGTTAAACAGTGGACTAAAACTAACCCTATAGGCCTTACAAGTTACACACATTCTTGGTGAAAACCCCAGATAGAGGGTTTGAATACTCTCTTGAAAATAATTTTAGCAATTTCATCACCAAAACTTAGACCAACCATTAGTTTAAGATTTTATTGCATATAGTTAATACTAACTATACAACAGTTGCTTATGAGGTATAACATTATGTCGTTAGTTAAACTACATTAGTTTAACTTTGATTGTCAAACTTATAAGTATTGTAAATTTCCTGACTATGTCTTGTTATTATTAAACTTTCTCAATGCTTAACACCCTTACTTTTCAGCTTTTACAGAAGATTTAATTATTTATTACTTCCTGGTGTTTGCTCCATGTGTTTCATTAAATGAAAGAAGTTAAAGAGGAATCATTTGTGTAAGTATGTTTAACATGTTTTCTTTTTATTAGATTTAATATTGTTATATTTTAATTACAAAACCAATACTCTAGCCATTTATTGTATAGTTCAGGTATTTATTTACTTTCTTATTTATTATCTTAAATCTTCATAAACATTAGTTTTCAGCTGTACTCTTAGTAATGTCTTGCTACTTGGTTCCTTATATAAACAGTACTATATGTAATAGCAATTTATCTCAATGCTATGCTCCTCCTAAGTCATCATCTTGTAGCAGTTTAATGGTTTTTTGTTGGTCACATGATGTTCTTGGAGAAACTTTTGCTTATATATGGTTACACTGATGTTACTTTGTGCTAAAAACATTAAATTTATAATAGTACTTGATGCCAACAACTAGTGTTTGTATGTTGTTATTTCTTCATTATTATTTCCACTGACTGTATTAGTTAGAACGATTAATGTACCTAATCTTATTATTTGCAATTTTAACTTTTATTATTATAATTTTATTATAAAGATTGTTTTACATTGTTAGTTTAATACATCTATCTAGAACACTAGTCTAAATCCCCTAAGCTGGGCAAACCTCATGAAATATTATTGGGTTTACATAACAAACGTATTGTACGCATCAAGGGTACTCAAGTGATGAAACAATGCATTCTAACCTTTATAAGTAAGAATGTAATAAAAATGTTTTTAATTAGATATATTTATTACCAGGTTAATTTCTGGTTTTGTTCTAAGTAGGTAGTTTTTTCTGATTGCATTTGAGATTATATAATAAAAAATATTAACTTTTCTTCTTGAGTAATTGTAAGGCCAAAAGTTTTAAGTTACCACTCAAATGAATGTATTAAATGTACTTAAGTTTCCTGTATTGTCAATATAAAAAATATATAAATACAGATAATTTTTGTTAAACTACCTTTAACTTTATGGCTTAAAACAGATTACAAAAACTACACATGATGACAAGTACAAACACTCCAGTAAAACATTTATAAGTGTTTCAACTGTTAAAAATCAGTTTTATAATATCACCATGATTTTGCATATGTGCTACCATATTACTCTTTGAAGAAAATAATATTATTAGTATAAATTTAAGAAAACCACTGGTGATTTTAATCAAGAGACCAAAAAGCTGTATTATCCAGAGATACAGTTTATGTTCTTCAATTTCCATTACACTGCTTTTACATATATATATATATATATTAGGTAACAGTGGTATTCCAAAGCTTAATTGTTGTACTCATAACAATTTTATTCTTAACTCTGTATAATACTTGTTACACCTCTTAGTCTTAAAATACCATTGTCTGTTTATCTTCTTTAAACAAAGAATGTATATCGAAAAAGTTATTTAAAAAAAGCTGTAAAAAGTATTCTTGTTTTTGAAACTGTTACTTCTACATCATAGTAAAAAAAAAAGAAAGATAATTTATTTCAGAGTTGAAAACAGTGAAAGGAATGGATTACCTGCTTGAAAGCAGCTTGTTTCATGCATAGAACCTAGAATAACATCACAATTTGAATGTTGTTTCAATTGCAACAACCTAAAAGAGCTTAGAATTATATCATGCTTTGAGTGGTTCACTTTTGGAATGATCTCTTAAGTGAAAATGTTAAGGATATATTTTGGATCTGACTACATCATTTAAAAAGAAAAAATGATATACAAAACCAATAAATGACATATGTCATGCTATTTAGACTGTGAAGTATATAAGAAAATGTTCAACTATTGAAGGTAATATTTTGCAGTCTAACTGTTGGACTAGAATTATTAATTTAGTACATATTATCTTCATTATGATTTAAAAAATATAATTGAAAACTTACACAACCCAAAAACGAGATAAGAGTATCTCTGACATCGGTACTGGTCCGAATATATCTGTGGTTGTGATGCAAGTTCAAAGACGAGCCAATTATTAAGTTTCGCTGACTACCACTAAAGTTAAATATCGAAAAGCAACTGCTTGTTTTATAGAAACCAGTGTTACCATTACTGAAGCTAGCACTAACATTAAAATTTTGATGACCTTTAACTAAGGTTGGTGATCCTTTAAAACCTCCGATAACTTGACACAACGATATCTTTGAATTACGAAAGCAGTTTGCCATTATAGATTAAACAATATTTATATTTAGAGTCATGTAAAACAAATCATATGAAAAAGATGTATACATATATCGTGCCTGTGTAGACTAGTTAAAGCCAACAGATACCCTTGTGCGAACATATAGATATCTGCGCCACCTATAATACGTAATTAAAATAAAATAGGGTATGGCAAGAAACAAAAACATTATGAATATAGTAATAAACACGTTTTATCGGATGTTTTGAAACTTATAACATCCATCATCAGAGACCTATAAAGTAAACAAATTAAAATAATATTCTGATACAACAGAATTTATTAATTTCAAAAGAACTCCCAATCTCAACTAATTGCCTATATTTCTTCCAGCCTCCCTCTGGTGGTTCAGCGGTCAGTTTACGGAATTACACTACTAGCATCCGGGCTTTGATTCTCCGCAGTGGACAGCACACAGGTAACTTTGTAGCTTTGTTTTATATTCAAACAAACAAATACTTCAAGATATCTTTATAATTATTTACATTTTTTGTTCCACCGAGTTTAAGTAAATAGTTGTACATTTAAGTGTTGTAAAATCTAAATTATAGACCTTATCATTGTTTGTTTGTTTTGAATTTATGCACAAAGCTACACAATGGGCTATCTGTGCTCTGCCCACCACGGGTATCGAAACCCGGTTTCTAGCGTTGTAAGTCCGCAGACATACCGCTGTGCCACTGGGGGGAAGACCTTATCATAAATTTATTCAATGTAAATTATTATTCCTGTATTTTATATTACACTTTCTGGACAAACATGATATAACAGTTTGGAAATTGTTTATGGGGTTAGTATGGTTATTGTTTTCGTTCTGTATGCGCATTGGAGTAAATGAGGGATTTAAAAATTGTTGACCAGTTATGTTAGATAAGCCATGTATTCATAGGTTCATATATGTAATTACCGTATTTTTTGTAAAGATGCTTGACTTTTACAGTTAATACATTTGTGTTTCATAAACGATACATAAAGACATAGAATAGGTAAAAGGAGGAATTGAAAGTCATTTGTAGTTTAATCTATGAATAACCTGTTAGAATTACATTGTTTTTGTTGTTGTTTTTTTGTCGATACTTTAGAAAACTGCTCTTTTTGCATAAGAGAGAAATGGCCAGTAATATCATACATTTTTTGGAAGCATTATGTTCTATTTCATTTAACAGGAATCTACATGTGGTATAGAGGCATATTTGACAATGGATGGAGATGTAGTCCTATCAAACGTTGTATACTCTGTTAAGAATGTTTTGCACGAAGTCATTAGGCACAATATATTGTCAAAACGAGTGTGTAAGTCTGAAAATGTTTCTTTTTTTACGATAGACAGATATTGCAAATTGGTTATTTAGTCTGTGGATCTTATCATCTCGTAAGGATCAATTCTCTCTTTTTTTGTTCACTTTCACATCGAAATTTAATACAGGAATGTTGAAAGTTTGAATAACACATTTTTAACATGTTATATATTATTACGACATCGGCAGTCACGTGACTCTGGTAACACGTAATAAGTTTCTAGAAGGATCATGAAGGCCTGAGTGTTTGTCAGACGCTCTCTATTTTAGTATATAAGCCCAGCAAATGATTGCAGATATACAGATATAACTACAGGTAATTGACTCAAGCGAATGGTAGTGACGTCAATAGTTGTGAATTATAGCGTGTGTTTAAGTTAAAGTGACTGTGTAAATTAAGTGTATTGCAAAGTTATATTGGCAAAGAATAAACTAGTTTTATTTAAGAAAAAACTTGTATCGCTGAAGTTCATCGGAAATAATATTTACGGAAAATTAACAAACGAACAGAGACGTAACAAATTGGTGTCAGGAGTGGGAAGAAAAAAAGAAGATGGAAACGAGAAGTGGCAAATCAAACTACAGCTTAGCAGATTTGATGGCAGCAATACAAGAACAACAAAAGAAACAAGAAGAAGTAGAAAAGCAACAAGAAAAGAAACAGGAAGAACGAGAAAAGAAACAAGAAGAAGTAGAAAAGCAACAAGAAAA